CTCCACTCCGCACTCCCCCCATCATTCACTATGGTAAGATTTTTTGTTCTGATGATGCCTTACACCTGATCCCTTCGACACCTCGTGGTTGCTTTTTAAAAAATCATTTTATTGGTGGCTCATACAACTCTTATCACAATCCATCCATCCATCCATGTGTCAAGCACATTTGTACATTTGTTGCCATCATCATTCTTAAAACATTTGCTTTCTACTTGAGTCCTTGGTGTCAGTTGAGGCCAAATTTTTATCAACTTTTCTCTTAATGTACATTTTAATTTATATTTTATATTTTAATGTATATTCTCCATGATACCTTTGCCTACACCAGTGCTTCTCAACCTGTGTCGTGACCCCTTTGGGGCTGAACAACCCTTTCACAGAGGTTGCCCAATTCATGACAGTAGCAAGATTACAGTTATGAAGTAGCAATTAAAATAATTTTATGCAAAAAAAAAAAGAAAATAATTTTATGCTTTGGGGTGGGGGGTGTCACTACAACATGAGGAACTGTGTTAAAGGGTCACAGCATTAGGAAGGTTGAGAACCACTGGTTTACACCAAGAAGGCCCATATTTGTTCTAGAAGTTTTGTACTTTAATCGCTACGATCTATTTAAACTCATCTTTGGGCGTATTTTTTCTTTTTCTTTTGGGAGGTTAATTAATTAATTATTAGTTGGGATTTAATATATATATATATCATATCATCCCAAATGTTAATCATGTCGAGTAGCATGTACGATTGGTATTACAATCAGTTTCCAAACATTCTTTTTCTCCATGGACGCCTTGACATCATCTCCCTTTTATCTCACCTCCACCAGTGTGCCCCTCCCCCAAAACCTCTTATTCTACTTGCTGTCCCTCTAGATTCATCAATCTTGGGTTTCATGTAGGGATAAATGGGAAAGCATATAACACAGCTTCAAGAGGGTGACCTCCACTGCCATACCTGTGAGATACACTCTAATATGAACAAACAAAAATCAAAGAAAACAATACAAACCAAAACTATAGAAACATTTGGGAACCAGATCAGGTCCAGCTCGCATCATAGGGTGGATCTACTGACAAAGTTTTAACTGTTCAGGTCAGATTTATGTCTTTGATCTTCTATATTCCTTTCTCCCAGCACTCTGTTTAGGGATCATTTTCTTCCCTTCCAAATTTTATATAGGTGGAGTTCTCCGGAAGTTTGTTTCCCGAGTAGTTCCCCAAATGAACCTTGGGCTTCCACTGTCATCCATCGCCTTTTGCACCTTGGATTGTCACGATTTAGGCCCCAATACTGGCCCTCCTTCAACTTCGGGTATTATGAATTCCAATCCTTCAGTGACTGATGATAGTGGGCTTCTTCCATGTGGATTTAGTTGACAACCAACTTAGTAAATGGCTGCTTGTTTGAAGACAAGTCTTTAAGATCTCAGATACTATTTTATCTGATAACTGGGCACCATCTAAATTCTTCACCACATTTTGCTATAGCACCCATATCTTCTGTGTTCCCTTCCTGAGGGCGAGTATCAAGCAGGGCCATGATATAAGAACTAATTGTTCTTAAGGTGGAGCTAGAATTTAGTGCAAGCCCAAAACCCATTCCTGGATCTATGCCCCGCCCTGCCCTGGTTTTAATTTGCTGCAATTTGGGAATTAACACATGTGTCATATCTTCCATAGTTCAATCACATCAAACAGAATTGTACAATTCCTTCCATAATCATTCTCCAAGCATGCACTTCCCTCGTAGACTTCTTGACATCATCTCCCTCTCACCTCTCCATCCCTCTATGTCCCCGCTTCCTCTGAAACCCTTGTTATTATTTTTTGCTCTCCCTAGACGGTCAATATCCCTGGGTTTCATTTATTGAAAAACAGAAGCAAAAAACACAGCTTCAAGAGGGCGACCCCAGTGGCAATCCACCTCTGAGATACATCCTAATATGAACACGCATAAGCAACATATAACAGAATGACTGTCACAGAATTTCCAGAATAATATGTGTCTTAATACAGCATACAAGGGCACTGATGTAACAAGACCTTGGTACAGCTGTCTTCCGCTTCCTCAGACACCATGCATTTTCTGGACTAAGTCCTCAGGTTACAAGTGTATCTGAGGTGGAGTCCAGTGCATCTAGTGGAGTTCCCCTATGGGTCTCACTCTGGAGCATGAAGATCCAGGATTCAGTGACCCAGCGTTCCATGACCCCTGGGTTTCTGGGATACCCCCAGATGCCCCAGATCAATACTGCCTACCTGCTGCATGCCACTAAAGACACTCCCAACCTAATGTTCCCCAAAGCATCCCCAGTCTCTCGTCCCCCCACCTGAAGGTGAGCCCCCTTCCCCTCCCTTCAACAGACATGCATCTGTGTTCCCCCAAACGTAACCGTTCCCTTTCCCCTCAGTAGGCCTCATCTCTCTGACAGGGCTGCCTCCCTCTCTGGAGGACCTCACCCCAGATCCACATGGCTACCACTCAGCAGGCAGCATTCCCCCTCCCCCATCCATTTGAGCGAAGCTGTCCTGAGGTGCCCTCCAGTCAAGTGATGTACACTACACTTACCTGGAGCA